GAACACTTTTCTTTCTTAGTTTTATATGTTGCAATGTTGGAAAGATGAATGCATGATATAGAGGCTGTACACATTGGGACATCAAATTCTTCTGCACAAGAAGCAAAGTTATCTGTCTGTTTTGTTTCACATTCTGTTGTTTTCAATCATTAATTATGTAAATGAAAGTATTGGTAACTGTGTTGGAACTGACCACACCCCTCTGATGGTATGTCCTTATTACTCCAGCAACTCTAAAAATCTGCAAACATTGCTGTATGAACCAAAAGCCTTCCTAACCCAAGGGCTTTACTCTCAGGCCCCATCTGATCTCCATATTTCCCTATTGGGCATTTGCCCATGAACCCCTACCCAATCGTTGTGGATTCTCTGCACAGCATTTTTCGTAATCTATTCTTTAATTTCTGACATTAATCTTTGACTGTGCAAATCATTTCATGTATCAGTGAGTGTAGTTTCTCCCTTTCTTTATCATAGTGTCATTATATTTCCCTCTAAGTCCGGTGTTACAGGTACAGCAGCCATATGCAATTTCTTACAGTTAGGCATACAGCTTTCATACACATATGCACATATAAATATAATTTCTGAGTAATAAGTATGAACCTAGCCTAATTGAGACTGGTATCAGTTTTTTCCACAACGCATGTGCAGGACACCAATCAGGGGATTTTCTGCCATACTTGAAGTTACTTCCTGTATATATATACCAAAGTTGCACAACTTTCATATTATCAGCTTGCAAAGGAAATGCAAATATGTTGGTTTTATTGTACGGAAAGCCCCCTTTATCAGGGGAAGGCATAAAAGGTTCCAGGGAAAATGCAGTTAAATAAAAATAATAATACAGCACATGCAACATAAGGATGATAATTCACATCAATATTCACTGTAGGGGGCTGTGCCCCCTGTGATCCCCCATGGGAGGGCTGCTAGGGGGGTTCAAATTGAGGCTCATTGTCTTACAGTCGACGCGAGACCCGCTAAATACCTGGGGAGGTACATCGCTAATTAGCGCCGAGGTAAACCTATGTGGACTTTTGCTTGTAGCAATCGTGCAAACGGCATTTGGTTATGACATTGCACATAGATATGAGTTCGTGAATGTTCAAGGAACACTTAAATACCAATATCAGAAAAAAATAATATCACCGTGATTTATGACGAAATATTTTATAAAATATATATATTTTTTTTCTTTTTTTTAAGTTTTGTCCTTTTACACAAGAAAATATGTTTCCATTGAGACTCCCTGGTAATATGTTGTAGCTTACAAAGTGATATGTACATATACCAAATACGAAGCCCTAATGTTTGAAAATAGCCGTACAAGTAAGGATTGAAATATTTCCATTAGACTACATTCAACGGTCGGTACATCACGGCATCAGTAATTTTGATTTTATTTGAAATTGGTCGACACCGCTGTAAAGTAATACATACTCTGAAATAAAAACTATACGGAATTTAGAACTCAATTGTGTGCGCAGTCTTTGTCTAGAGTTGAAAAAGCTATTGCATCTGTTTCGCGCATTCCCCTTAAAAAAAAATACATTTAGACGTTACCATAGGTCTTAGGTACCATAAATTTGCAAATATCCCACCACACCTAGGTGTCTGCACGATTCTATGCACTTCTTAGTAAAGATAATTGGTGCAAATAGCTAATCAACAACTCTACACTCCTTCCCCTTTGCAATCTGTTAATATTAACAATTACCAAAGAAAATGGTTTGTAGGGATAATTAATATATTCTATTTCTTTAGATATAAAAGCCGATGTATGCCTACTAAATGAGAATGATTAATCTTTTTTAACTTTGTGTGTGTGTTTACAAACATATGATCCTCTAACACATATTTTTTGTGGATTATTCACGAAAAAACTGTGGGAGTGATGATGTACCAAAGAAAAGGGGAGCAATTCTTTTTTACTTTTTTGGGGGCATCTATGGGGCAAGGTCAAAATATGAGACAAGCCCAATTCTATGCTCTATATCATGCGAAAAGAATCAATGAGTTCTCTCCTAAAGATGAAAATGGTATTTTCTCCTACTAATTTTTTTTTAGATGAAATGAGTAGGGAAAGGTGGTCATTCCCTAGGATGGTCCCCTTAATTAAGAATAGTGAACAGAAATGCGTAAAACTAGCACAAAAAATGCTAAAAATTGGCTAATGAAATTCTATGGACATGTCCGTCATCTTTGAAAGTCTACACACCGATGCACCAAAATTTTAAAAACTCTACTGGAATTCAACCCATCTTTCGGCAAATACTACAGGATTTCACACCTTCCAAACCCCCCAAAAATATCCTGACCCATAAGGCAACCTAACCTAACAATTTTCGGTGCCATGACTAGGCATGCCCTTCGGACACTGCCCAAGGGGAGGGTTGATAGGGGGCTCTAGCCTGCCATGAATACATGGTGGAGGTTTTGTTTCCTGGGCAGGGGTTGGGGGGGCGGCAGCCCCACCCAGGGGGGGGTCGCAGGGTCCCAATGGAAAATCGTGTGAATAACCATGGTTATTTTCACTGTGGGTTATATTATTAGTGTTATGTTATTATAACGGGGGGTTCCCGCGCAATAAAAACTATGGTAATTTTCTATATTATGTCCGCATAAGCGATATCGACGATT